AAAAGAAACGTCACATCGTTTTAATTTACAAAACATTTGATAGTAAGGCTTCCGTATAGACAGCACGATGTACGGTTGATTTCAAAGTAAAACAGAAAAAAAAACTGCGAAGGACAATCTGGCAGTTAATATCTATGGTATATACATTATTAAATACTTACAAAACTAATTTTTCGAATAACAAAATATATTTACTTACACTTTCAAGTATCCTCTACAGTAGAATATAAATATTTATGTCGCATTATGAAGTATTTATACAATTACTGTTTGAAGTGGCTTGGGTAGTGGAGGAGCTCTCAAACAGTTCAATAAATCGAGCCATCATACTTGTTTTCAAATCGTGTTTTTCACTGATAACATCACATGATCTAATAGTTTTTAGACTTGCTTCTCACTTTACAGGACCTTTTATTTTAAGGAACTGAATTAAAAATGAAAGGCATTTTCTTTGATGACTATGTGGTAAATTCTCTATTGTGAGTATTGATAAAAAAACTACTGCATAATAAAGTTGACTCAGTATTTCAGTTGTATTCCATCATATCACACGCTCGCCTTTATAGAATGATCGAGAATGCATGATAACACAGTATTTTCGTGTAATCTATGATCAGTAAGATCAAGTTTGAGACACATTTCCACTAATTCAAGTAGAATTGAGTATGGTTAGATGCGCCTCGTCTCACGAAGAATTCTAGCATGATCTAAAATTTTAGCATTGTTCTTATGTGCAAAACTACCAAAAGCTATTGAAGAAAATTGTGTGATAAAAACTATGTTCACGCTTTTTCTGATTTTTGTTGCTTACAATACTGTGCATATATGTCAGTGAAAGTTAAAACTTATCAAAATTCTTAGAATTAAAATCTTGACAAACCTTGAAAATTCTGTCGGAATCAGATATCACTTTGGTACTACGTGGTTGAAATTGTTTGAAAATATCCTTGTCTTTTCTGCAGTCACAACCACATCTCATCAATCTTATCTACACGCACACCCACATCTCACTTATCTAATCTCACCTCATATTCTATGGCTACATATATATATATATATATGTTTTGCCAAGGTGCAATTTAAAAGTTAGAGGGACAAGTCCATGTCTTGGAAAGTTAAACAGATAGTAGATATGAAAAAGATAATGAATTTAACCAACAGCTGTAAAACACGTCCTATTTAGAATAGACAAAGGGTGTGGGTGTGGGGTGTGAGTGTGTAATGGCTGATGCATTTATACCCACACCCTTTTCTTGAGATCACAGATGATCCTTAACTGAGGATCTCTCCAAACTTGCCTTTATGGATACAAAGCTGGTATATGCCTTTATTAGTGGTACAGAAATCAGCCTGTTTGCTCGAACCATAATGAAAATATTCAATTTTTTCTCCGTTTTCTTGCTGATGGACCACCTTGTAGATACCATAAGATAATGGTCATTGCCACAAAGACCACAACTTGAGGAAGGGCATATAGTTTCAATTGATTATTGTCAAGAGCAGAAAAACTTTTTTTTTCTCTCCTGACGCCAGCCGATAGGCAACTGTACGAAACACAAAAAATTTGCGTTTAAAATTTTTTTTATCATACAGTCGTGCAATATACACGTTGAGTTGTGACTTCATCAATCGAGTAGATGCACGAAACAGTTGAATGATTTTGTGAAACACCTTTCCAATTTTTACATTTCATCTTTTGTCAAACATGACTTATCAAAGTTTCTGGTACTCTTTTTCATTAGAATATTGATTTTGAGCTGCAATTATAATAATTTTCGAGAATCTTGCTGCATTAGTGCAATGAGATTTTCTGATTAACATTAACAAACATTATTTTATCAGTTTCTTTTATTTGAGTGATATTTTCTCAATATGAAATCGTAATATCATAGACATAAGGTGCGAGTGTGTGGATATGAGTGTTCTTTTTCTCGTCATCAACATGCACACCCATACTTGATTTCAGACTAAAAAATCTGCGATGTTGCTTTCTTGTTGTGTCTTCAGCACACATATCCAATAAAAGTCAATAGGTATTAAAGCCGTCAAAATTGTTGTGAAGCTAACTCATACAGTAGCATATTACACACTAGCACCCTCTTTTACTACATGTGGAAATAAAATCTGTCGTAGTTGGTTGCTAAGTAATGACGCTACGTTGTACAACATGCTGTGTTCGCCATCCGATGTGCATTCTGTGCATGTGAATGACTAATTAAGCAATCTTTGTGTTGTGTTTGTTACCTACCCTATGAATCGTCGTTCGCTGCTGCTGATGACTCACTCGAAACAAACATTGGAGAAAGATGATGGAGAGAGAGAAAGAGAGCAAGGAGAAATGTATAAATACATCGATACATATTTTGGCTCACATCAGTACATCTCTGTGCTATGGTTACGTCTTCACTGACTGAAGCCTCTGGTGGCTGACGAGCTTGCATATTGTTTGATTGTAAAAGAAAAGTTTCGGGTTTTTTTGATAGATTGAACATCTTTACCGCAACTAACGCCTCCCACTCTTTTCGATGTCTTGTATTATGTTATATTTTGTGCCTAGATAAATGATCAACCTTCAAAGGCCGTATTTTACATGAGTATTTTTTATAGTCTATTGTCTTACCGAATATACGATCAACCCAAGCGACGTAGAACGATGATGAACAAGGGCAAAGAAGTGGAACTGGCGAAATTAGCTGAACAAGCCGAACGGTACAGTATTTATTCGCTAATATACTGGGTTAGATAACGTCAGTTTTCTATTAGATATGATGATATGGCGATTGCCATGAAAAAGGTCGCTGAATCGAATAGTGAATTGACGGCTGAAGAACGAAACTTACTCTCAGTTGCTTACAAGAATGTAGCTGGCGCTCATCGTTTATCGTGGAGAGTCATATCAAGAATTGAACAGAAACTTGAAGGCTCTGAACGTAAACAACAAATAACTAAAGAATATCGGGAAATAATCGAAAGAGAATTAAAAGACTGTTGTCACGAGCTTTTGGTAAGATTTATTAATTAAACAAACGTTCTGTGGCAAAGAAGTGTGAATTTAGATCTTGCTTGATAAGTACCTCATTCCAAAAGCGATGGCAGCCGAATCGAAGACATTCTATTTGAAGATGAAGGGTGACTACTATCGATATTTATCTGAAATAGTCACAGACGACGAACGGCTAAGTAGCATATTGAATTCTGCTTGAAAATAGAAACTTTTATCGATATTGGTTGCAGTACTGGTTAAAGAATCACAATGTGCCTATACTGAAGCCTTCGATGTTGCCAAGAAACAAATGCCAGCAACACATCCAATTCGGCTTGGTCAAGCTCTCTGTTTTGCCACCTTTTATTACGAAATTCTTAATGCACGGGAGCTAGCTTGTCACCTTGCCAAAGAAGTTTGTTCGATTTGATGCATTTGGTTTCTCTTTTTTCTTCGTTCTTACAATTCCCTGTTTAGTAGGCATTTGACGATGCTTTGGCCGAGCTAGACACCCTCGATGAAGATTCGTACAAGGGTAAGAGAAAATAATTATCAATCGATAATCTATGGCAAAGCTAATTTGTTTTCTCTCCGCTTTCAGACAGCATTTCTCTAATGCAGCTACTCCGAGACAATCTCACTGTGAGTATTCATGTGTCGAGATGTCCTTTATAAAACAACTCATTTTCGTTTGCATTTTGCAGCTATGGACCAACGATGCAATTAATGACGACGATGTGAATCAACTTGAAGAACACTAGTAACTGTGTATTCCGATTGATTCAATTCGACAGCTAAAAACAAAATTGTGGTCTATCTCTCCTTCATTCATATAATAATCATTATCTTATGCTTCTCTTTTTTGTGCTTTTTATTCTGTTTTTGTTCGTTTATATAGACTCTCTCTCTGTCTTTAGCTGTTTCTCCATCATTGTCTTTGAAAGTTTCCCGTCTGCTTGACTCTTTGTTTCAGTCTAACGATGTATTGTCAGCATCGTCTGTTTCATGTAGCAATTAAGCAATGAAAGAAAAGTAATTTGAAAACACAAAGATACAGACACACACACAGGCACTGAGGAATTTCAATTTTATGACTCAAAAGAAAATCTCATTATTTGGCAAGAAGTGGTGCCAATAAGAATATGAAGATGTTTTCATCCGATTTACTTAATATTATATTTATGATAATAGACTCTTGAGATGATCTGAATTAGCACCGGTGAGTGTATCCTTGTCATAGATGGCTTATCATAATAACAAAATGAAAGCGATGAGAACGTTTTTCGATATCGGAATGAGACAAAAACTATTCTAATTAAACGCTAACAAATGCAATGAAAAATCCAGCTTCATTATGTTGTTTGAGTCTTGATACAATAATTGGATGGCATGTTCGACAGGAAATGTTTCTTGAAATCCAAAGCAACTTCAACTTTCTTTTAATCGCGACACAACACAGCTATTAAGACGAAAATGCATAAGACCGGTTTGATGCTAATGGTCTTAATGATAAATAAGCTTACACTTATTTCGACAGCTGAAAAGTGAAAATAAAGGAGACACGGATGCAAAAGTGCTACTCGCTGAAAATAAGCGCCGCATTTGTTTATTGTTTCTTTACTGGGTGTGGATGTAATTGAAATAAATACCCACAGTCACAATCACATCCCACCCACATCCACGTCTGTACCATACCAAAGACCCATGAATAGTTCTGATAATTTACTAGAAACTAAAAATTTAGTTAGCTTGAGAGGAAACAAGTTATGGGTGTGGGTGTGTAATGGCTGATGCATTTACACCCACACCTCACGCCCATAGCCACACCCACACTCACAACACAGAACCATTTTTATCAAAAAGTGAGTTCTGCAAAACTCCTTATTTTTTTTTCAGAGTGGTAGTTGACACGGTATGGTTCGTTAAAAATTAAAAACTCAAGAAACATCATTAACAATCTTCATGCGTGAAAACGAATGCAACATTTAACGGTTGTTGACACGGCACGGTTCGTTGAAAATAAAAGCTCAAGAAATATCATTAATTGTCTTGACGCGTGGAAACAAGTTCAACATGAAACGACATATGACGAGTTAGTTACGATTAAAAAGATAATCACGCAGGAAAAGTATGAAAAATCTAACGCGTTTTTACGAGTTCCTGAAATTTGACGAATGTTTATGAACTTTTCTTCGTGAAACTTCGTTATTTTCGTCTTTTAACGGAACTTTTTGCGTTAATTTCAACTCTCACTTCATTAAGAGTCTTCTTTATTTTTACATGGGTTACTTTACTACATGAGTTACAAGAAGGGTCAACATTTTGTAGCAAAGAGTTCAGCTTTGATTGAGTTATACCAATTACACAATTAAAAAAGTAACTCTATATGCAGCATGAACATCATTTAAATTTTCTTTGAAATTTTTCTTTGTAAAACGTTTATGACACCAACCTCGGATGTGGGTGTAGTTTCAGAAACTAACCACACCCACACCCACATCCTCGATATTTTGCAACTTTCGTTTCACTTAGAATCTATTGAGAAAGGTCATTCGATGGATATCGGAATAGCCCATCGAAAACAATCGAAGCAAAGACAAAAAAGGGGTCGAAAATCATGGATAGTGTGGTCATTAAGTACCAATCGGAATTTATATTCCGAGCCCTCGAAATGGAAGATTATAAACTTCACAATACTTGGAAAAGCCTATCGAATGGCTGCACAGCTGATGATTAGTAAGAAATGAGTGATCACTTTAGACGCTTGTCAATTATAAGAAAACTTTCATTATTCATGGCATGGAATTGTATATGTTAGTATAAAATTTTCGATTTTTGAACTTGTGTAAATGTCAATTTAACAAAAATGTCTTTTTTATCATTGCATGTTTTTACATTAAAAAGTGAATCTAATTGAAGCTCTTCTAAGTTTTATTATGGACAGAAATAAACTCATTGACATATGAATACGCTGTATTACATTCATTCAACAACATGAATAGTTTATGTATCCATCCTTGAAATCCTGAAAGTGTTCATTTGGTTCGTTCTAGTAGCTGAGATGATTGGTGTAACTTGATTGTTAGGATGGCGCCGAAACAGATTCCTTATAATATTCATCAGTTCTTTTCTGTATAGGCTAGCCGATAGAAAGTACAAGATGACCGATGTGGTATATGACAAACTGTAGATAAGCTTAGTTAGTTGAAGAGCAAAGTAATACTCGATGGGATTAAAGTATTGAACAGGCAAAAAGCCTAAAATATACACTGTGGCAAATGGTGTAGAAAGTAAAATATGGCAACCCACTTGAGCAAGAAGCATGCAAGTAAGTTGATGTTCAGTACGACGAGATCGTGAACATGCGGTAGGAAGAGCACGAACCGCCTTTATATTACATATGGTCAGAATACCGAAGGTTAGCATTAGAAACGGCGGGATAAAACTTGCAAGAACTGCTTGAATGATCGGATACACACGACTATAAAGTGTTGTTGGTAAAATGCGACATGGAATCACTTGACCTGGTTGTGTATTGAACAGTACCAGAGAGTTAATGAAGAAAAGTGCTATAAAGGTGAAGACGGATAAAATAGACCATCGAGCAACAATCAAATTGCTGAAATTTCGTCGTTGAGCATTTAATGAACTGCCACAATATCGATCGATCGAAGCAAGTACAATAAAATACGGTGACACTACGGTAGATAATTGTTGAATATAAAAGATAACTTTACACCATAATTGGGAATTGCTAGTTGGATCTAGTTGATAACCAAATGACAAAAGAGTAAACGTGAAAACAAAGCTTGAGTAGAACAGATTGTTGCTAGCAAGTGCGAGAAAATAACGAGAACATGGGTGATTGTACAGTCCAGGTCTTCTGAGCACAGCAATATTGAGCAAATTTCCGACGGTTCCGATTACCATACCTGGAGGTAAGACTACTCGCATGAGTAGAGAAATGAGTTCGATGAGTGAATTCATTATTGGATTCTTTCTATTGAGTTGACCTTAAGAATATGAAACGTTTATTATTACAAGATTTTTCTTAGTTCTATCTGTTGTTCATTATCGAATCCGTTCGTAAAGCCAACCTACAAATATTTTTCCTAGAAGAAAAAGTTATTCTCGTTTAGTCATTGAAAGCGATAGGATTATATGCACTAATCATAGCGTTTCACAAAAATCTTACGATTTCTGTCTCGCATGGTAATAAAAAGAAAGAGCAACATGATTATTATTTCATATATACCTAATGTTTGATCTCAAATAGATTGGTCATTTGCAAAACTAAGTATGAAATCTATGTTAATCGCAAATCATTGATCAGCTTAGGGTTTTAGTTAATCGATGCTTACTTTTTGTAGTACGATTTGTGATTCAAAGCTTTAAAAACTAATAAAGACATATCAGTACTGATGAGGATCTGATTGAACATCAAATTAACTCTATCCTTAAGTGTCAAAACATGTATGGCATTCTAACATATGAATTAATATTCCCTTACATGTCCTACCATGCAATCGCTCTTTATGTTTGAGTGTATTTTACTATGTATTTTGTAAAAAAAAAAGGTCGCTCTCTCGGACTTTCGATTTAGAAAAATACAACAGTTTCTCGTCACTTGAATATTTAATAAAACAAAATATTCGAAACTAGATTTGCTCTTGGGCAATTCCAAAAATCTGCTCCCGAGTTTTGCTGACTAAATATTTTTCAATACTAACATCCTGTTGTTTTTCAAAACTCAATGACTGATAGAGCAAACATTTCTCTATATAACCTGCTTTTAAATATTACTTTCCCATAAAGAAAGAATTATACAGTGCAACATTTTTCTGTCGAATTCAAACACCTTCTTTTTTTATCCTAAAGAGTTCTATTCAAGCACGTCAAAAACAGTTTGTTGTGATAATTTTTTTTTAATTTCTAAACGACAGTTACTTCTTAATGAAAGCTGTCATTTGCAAAATGAATATATTTATATGTTGAAAACATCAAAGCTACCGTGTAATGCCTGAGAATAGATTATCAAAAACATTTTTATATTTTCTCTTGACGTACAAGATTGAACTTTTTTATTATTACATTATATATCTAATCAAAATTTTTAATTTTTCAAAGTTTCAGCTCTTTAGCTAAAACTGATGTTGAAATGCATGAACAAGCCGTTTATATCTAATATCTATTAGATTTAATGATCATTTTTATCTTAAATGTCCATCCGTTACGATAACAGAAAAGATCATAAATAGTTTGTATTGAATTTAAACCATCTTCAAACAATACAAAGTATTGCCGGCATGATTCGTAGCAAAATAATTTAATAAACGTATAGATTCAGTCAATAGTGATGCTAAATTTGTTGCTGTGTAAAGAACTGAAAATGTCTAGGATGCACTGAGGAAAATAACTCGCAAACAAGTGTTTGATCCATCATTATAATTAGAACAAAATTTTCGAAATAAAAATATGTAAAAATGATAGATGAAATATCTTATTAATTACCATTGATCATAGAAAGCCATGTAGAACATGTTCATACACATTGAGTTTTATTAAAATTTACATTTTTGAAAAAAATTGTCTTGTAAAGTTTTTTTTTCTATCAGATGCTTATAAATATCACTGGCTAAGAAACAGAGATATCACAAAAATCAAGTACGATGATTCATGTATTTTAATATGATCCATCAATTTGAACAATAGTTTTAGCTAGAGAGCTAAAACTTGTTTTTTTCCTTAATTGTTATCGAGC